CGTGTTACCTGTGTTACTATGTGCTTTTATTATAGAGGAAACTCAAAATTTGGTTGTTCATATTTGAAACATCAGCTCTACCAAAGCTGAATTTAAGTTGACATTTTATGAGAAAATTATACCTAAAGCTATTTCATTTTGCTCAGGCCAAAGTAGATGCTCATAAATTTGTTAAAACTCATTATTTGTTCAATAAATAAATGATCAAACAAAAAATCCATTTAAAAAAAGAAAATGTAACTATATTTATCAGTATTATTACAAACAGAAATAATTGAAGACAAAATTTAATTTCTAATTTATAGATTCCTATATTGTTTTGTATTGAGCATTTATTACTTTTATTTTTAAAAACTCCATTAAAAGTTAAGATATAGAACTAGGGGAAAAAGATAAAAGTGTAAGTACTTAAAGTGAAATAATTACATGGCTTTTGTAAAGCTAAGAATTAATTAACTTCACGTTAGAGCCAAATTTTCTACATCTTATAATAATATAATTCATATAAAAATATTAGAAAGATATATTAATATATATAAATCTTCCAGTTGTATTATGGGTACATATAACTTATTGTTTTTCTTTTCTATGTCAATGTGGGTTATTTTTTTCTTGTTTTATTAAGTATTCTGTAATGTTATATAACTTTCAAATTTTTGGGTTATGTTTTACTCTTTGTCTTAACTTACTCGGAACTTCTCTGGTGACATCAAAAGACTTGTTACTGGACCAGCTTCCAAAAAGAATTTATGCAGAATTTCTTCAGTAAAGATATCCCACCAGATGACACATGAGTCTTGATCCCCAGACACCATCCAACTTTGGTCTAATTTTGAAGAGAGACCATGTGGATAAAGTAATGAAGTAACACTTTGGTGATGTCCTTTGAGAACTTTGTGAGGGGAGGAATCTGAAAAACAACCAAACACCAAATACTACAAAAGTTATTTTTGTTCAGGAAATAGTTCTAAGATTTTCTCTCATAAATTTTTAACATGAGGAAATTGCATATAATGCACTTGGCTAAGAAAATTAGTGAACAACCCTTAGACCATCTCAAAAGGCAAGTGCCTCATCAGAAGCCAGACTATGCTTTTGAGGAAGCATAGAAGTTGGTTGTTTATAGTCTATTAATTCTTTAAGGATATTAGTAAGTTACTAATTCCGGTGCCATGAAATAATAAACACTGTTCTAAAAGAACAAACAATTTACACATTTTGCCTCCACAAATTATCTAGCTCTACCCCTTTGCTTTACAGATAAAGCATGTGAGGCTCAGAGAGGTTAAGTGACGTGCATCCAAGTGTGAAAAGGCAAACTATAATGTTCAAGAGCATAGCTGCTTTTTTTTTTTCCTGAGTCTATCACTTACTAGAGGTGACACCAGGGACAAGTTTCCTTTTCCCTCTAAACCACAGATGTTACATCTAAAAATTTGGGATAATAACAGTCCTTACTTCAGACGCAACTATTGTGTGAAATAAATAAGAAAATGTCTATACTTCTTAGCACTCTGCGTGGCATTGGGTAGGCACGCGTGCACCTCAAGTCACAGCTGTGCTAGAACACAGGACTACTGACACATTACTCTTCCCCCGCACCAAACTGCTTCTTCCTTCATTATTAGCTACACTCCCCAAAATTGGAGAGGACCATAAGCCACAAACTCTCTTTGTTCAGATTGAAGTTAAATCCCAAAGAATCATTATTATATTTTAGATACTTCTATTCCATCAGGCGCATCCTTATTTTATCTCTCCTAACAAACTATGATAAATGTTAACTCGGATGCTACGAGTCAAATGTATTTTTCTGCTTGTTTTGTGGATACTGGGAAAAATCAGCCTAGATAAAAAAAAATGCTATGTCTTAGCCTTTTCACTAACTTTTAACAGCAGCCATTTAGCTGTGTGCCAGTACATTACTTCTTAGTTCATTGCTATTTACTCCCTACTTCAGTTAATCACTGAAGCACAAATCAGTAACTTTTACTAAGTAGCCAAAGTAAGCTGAGAACAATAGAAGGCAATGTACGATTTTTTTAAAGAAATGAAATTTTAGTCTTTACTCTTAAGGACCTTATACTCTAATAATAGTAGCATTCATATAATTTTTAAAAATGATATACAAATTTTTTAATCCTAAAACCTCAGTTACCCCCATTCCCTTACATAAGATGATTTACTGTATAACAGTCTTTATTTAATAGGTATTTGTTGCTGTAAGGCACAAAGATATATAAGAACACATACCATTTCAATAACAATGAAATCGAAATTAAAACAGGAAGATATCATTTATCTCCTGGTCGGCAAAGATTTTAAAATAGCACAGGAAGTTGGCAAAGTTTTGTGAGAAAAGACATTTTCATAGGCTATTTAGGGGAAATGCATGAATATTGATGAAAGTTCTTTACAGAAGATTTTAGATATATTTTCAAAATTGAAAACACAAATGTTGATCCAGTAATTCTACTCCTGGAAATTATTACTACAGCTATACCCACATATATGTACAAAGATAATCAATTCTACATTGCCCATAGTAGCTAAAGAGTAGAAAACCTAAATACCAATTAATAGTAGATATTTTAAAAATAAAATTTAATTATTATTAATAATTTGAAATGAGCTCATAAAGAATGATCTCTGAGATATTTTATTAAGATTTGTTTAAGGACACTTTAGTGAAGTGTGTATAGTATGCTTCTATTTGTGCAATATAATTAAAAGAATGTACACTGCTATGCTGGTATGTGCTTGTATACACACAGAAAATTTCAAGAAGGGTATAAAGAAACTACTACTAGCAGTCGACTTTGGTGAAGGTAAATGGAAGATCAAGTAAGGAGAGAAACTTATTTCTCTTTGTATTAATAAAACCTTCTGCTTGAGTTTTTAAAAAACCTATACGTATGTTTTACTTTAACATTAAACTATGTACAAATTTATCAGCAAATGCCAGCTAAATATTTAGGCCTCCGAGTCTTCTTTAGTGCAGCTTGTCAAAATCGCACCTTAGATAAATTAAATAAATAGGATCAAATAAAGTTCAATGACCTTTTAACAAAGAATCGCCTTCTAGAAGTCCTGCTTTGGCAGCATTCAAAGCCTGCGTGATGATAATTGTCCCATCGTCACAGCCACAGATTAGTTTATCAAGACTTGGAACATACTCTGATGAAGTGACTACCGCAGTTCCGGCCCCATCTTTAAACCCGGAGAAATGGTCAATAATACTTTGTGACGTGGTATGATGCTTATCGAAATTATCTTGAAGAGTCCAGGTGGTAGTTATTGGTATTTCTAAAAGGAAAACACACAAAGAAGGAAAATTTGGTTTATCGACTCATCATAGATGTGAAAAACATTATCAAGGCGCCCTCCCCTCAAAACTATGAATATGGTGTAACAGCCTGTCCCACATTCATCCCTTGTTATGTTTAATTGATGTTAATTTGAATTACATTGATTGTATTGTTGTGTAAGATCTATATGCTTCCTGTTTACACCTGCTTTTATGTTGGCACCTAATACGTAGTGGTACAGAGAAAATTTTTCTCGTTTGTAGCCCCATGTTACTTAGAAAAACACTGAGTTAATTACAAAGTAGTTCTCAGAAGACATGTGATTGGATATGGAAACTGTCTTACCTCTAGGAGAACCATCAAACTTGGATACGGGAACATCAGGGATGTGCCACAAAGTAATTCTTCCTGAGACTTCTCCAGAGAAAAGTACCTTATAAAAAGGCTCTTTCCTTTCATTGATGTATCCCATCACAAAGGCACAGCTCTGCTCCAAAACAAAAAGTGAACCTTTATGTTAAAAATATTCTAACTATAGAAAGATGGCCACTGTTTTTAAACGGAGGAACAAGACTGAAGAGCGGAATTAAATCTTTTCAACTGATTTCCCACTGTTGCAAACTTTTCAAGTAAATTAAATGAAATAATCTAGGATTTAGGATGAAAAAAGTCTTTATAAAACAAGAAATAAAGTCATCAGCTAGACTTCAGAGTGCTAATAAGAGTATATAACATTTGCTGACCGTGTTATATGTATGTATAACACAAGGATGCAGAAAGCAATAATTCTGACTCACAAGCCCATGTCTTGAGTATAATACTGTCCACTAGGGAGGCCTGATTTCATTACATTCCTTTCAGTTCCAACTAGCAGTTCAAATAGCAAACACTAAAATTTGTAAGGTAATTTTGTGTTATTAATATGCTTTCTACTTTCTGTTAACCATTTTTCAGATTTAACATATTTGATTTCAAATTTCCCAAGTAGCTACAAAGAAAAATGACTCCTTAATTTACTATACACATATATATAATGTATTATACATTATACATGCTACTATATATTTTATATACATATAATTTATGATTTAGCTAATGCAGAGTATGAACATCAAGTATCAGTGCTCTTAAAGACACGCTTTCATTAGTGAATGCATCTAGACACTCCCTAGTACCTCAGGGCAGGGTAGCTGTTCTTTAGGCAGGCTTGTATACAGAGATTATGCACAACAGATCAAAATGATTGTGATTGCAAAAATCCCTTTTGATATACAAATAAAAGACATCCAAAAAAGAAAGCCAACTGCTGGTGCTAGAATTAAAGAAGTCTAGGAAAGTGACAGTTCCTAGTTCAGAAAATACATGCGTTAAGGTCCAGATTTAGATGTATTAGTGGAAAAATTCTATAATACATTTTCTGAGAATATTAAAGGCCAAAATATTGCTATACTTAATCCTTACAACAAAACTGTGAAGTAAGTAAATACTGTTGTTATCCCTTTTATAGAAATAAGGAAACTAAGACACAGAAAATAAGAAACAAATCCAAGGTCATACAACCAAGATATTTACAATTTTCTACAATCTCAAGAAATCAGAGCATCACAGAAAACAGTTGCAATGAAGGCAGTTATCTAAATAAATGTCTCTCTCTCTCTCTTTTTTTTTTTTTTTGGACTCAGAGGACACTTTGGGGTCTTACAGATCTCAAAATCATGATTTTTATAGCTATTAGAAATGATGTTGATAAAATCTGGTTAAATTGGCTACTCAAACTCTCCCAATCTCTTAGGAATCTTAGAAGTGATTATTCCAACTCTCTCCTTATTTTGATCTGAAAATGAAGCTCTGAGAGGCTGGTAATTTAGTCAAGTTGGTGGTGGAACATCTCTCCCCAGCTCAGTGCTCTGCCCCTGTGGTTCCCTGTTGCCGTCATCCCCTCTGCCCTCACCTCCCATACTGCCCCCCTCCCTTGGCCACACCACCCCTTGAGGCTTCCCAATAATTCCCTCTTTAGTTCTGCTATTTATCTGAGAACCCCTCACAAACCCTTACCATACGAATTCTGATTTTCCATCACAGTGCCCAGCACCCATCACAGGAAGTACTCATCCTCCAGGAGGTAATAACATACAGTCATTAAGAGTGAAATCTCCGGGGCTGACTGCTGGAATCCAAATCCTGGTTTTTCCACATATTAGCTCTATTAAAAGAGCAAGTTACTTAATTTAGGCGACTTACCTCACCTCTGTACGGGACTGTTGTGCAGATAGATTAATGAGTAGGTAAAGGTGCTTAAAATGGTCCCTATTCAATTAATATAACCATTCTTAACTCACTCTAAAAACCCATTTCCAGACTCTAGGGCTAAGCCACCTGGGTTCAAAGCCTGGGAGTTGACGTCTCTGAACATCAGTTTGAAACTGAGGTCTTGGTGGCAACTGAAGTAAATGAGGTGGTGTGTGTGTTTGCCAATAATAAGCACTCAATAAAAGTTATCTATCTATCTATCATTATTGTCATGACTCTTACATCTTGCACCCAAATTCCTTATTTACAACCCACAGACTTTCTCTCCCAGCTACTCCCACCTCAGCATGGCAGCCTTACTCCTCAGCGGGAGCTCTGGGAAGACCAGTTCCTCATCTCAACAGCCAGAAGCCCTGCCACAGGCCTCAGCAATTACCAGCTGTGATGTGAGGCCAGGGAGATCCTCAGATAGCTACAGGAAGGAAAGGTGAGTCCCCATTCTTATTCTTACAACTCCATCAGCAGATATGTTCACAGGTATTACAAATGGTAACTCTGAGAACATGTTCCTGTTAAACCTTGAGAATAAATTCTATGGTATCACTCCAAAAATTGAGTCAAGCCACTACTACATGTTTATAGGGTGCCCTTTTCACAGCACACTGTATCTATCAAATTCATCCCCACACCCTACCACAATGTCTTCATTATCTCCTAACTGCAAGAGAGACTAAGAACTCTTACATTTGGTGAATGCTGGTGATGTTTGAAAAATGGGGAAAATGTCTGACTTCATTTTATTCCTTGGATAAAGGGTAAGTAAGAGTCTAAGGATGGATAGAGCAGCTTTTTTTTTTCCAGTTTCAAATTAGTCTAATCATATTTCACTGGTTTCTAGGCACTTCCTACTTCTACTATACAGAAACAACTGTGGTTGTCTAAACAAGAATTATTGGAAGAAGACATATAAGTTTATGTCTTCATATTTTGAGAAACAAAGCAAGGAAACTTCCCATAAGATTAGTACTTTTTAGGGTATTTTTTTAAATTGTTATACTTTGTCCTTGTGGTTATGTATGGCATTGGTATTTGCAGTAACTAGAAGCTCCTAGTTACTCCTTTAGGGCAAGATTTATATTATATTAATATTTGGCTTTAAGGGCAAACTGTGTTTTTTAAAAATGCAGTCTGAAGCTAACAGAAAGGAAAAAGCACATTCTTTAAAAAATAACTAAATATGCCTTTCTGAGTAAGCCACAATACTGCTTTTGTGATCAACAGCAAAACAAGGCCCTACTGCTGCCCACAAATAATTTTAGAAACAACTCTTCACACATGCCATAATTCTAAAGTTTGCCAATGCTCCAGTGGCATTTGGGCTTCTAATTTTTGGCTGATAGCTTCTTAATCAAGTTTTTGCAATAAAACCTCACAGATACGTTAAAGAGAGAATCACTGAACTATAGGATTACCACCAGCTATGCTCTCTAATTAAGCAAACCATCATTCTGTACAAAGTAGCATGCTTCCTTCTTTGACACATCAATAATTCAAAACTCTTACAGTCTCCATGAAATACATTTTTTGATAATTAACTGATGACTAAGTCCAAAGGTTTAAAAAAAAAACACTTTGGGTAACTACTGAAATAAAATAACTGCTTAAATTTTCAGGCTTCCTTAGAGTGTCAAAACATAATTCAGTCAAGTAACAAGCTCACAATTATATATTCAACTCTCTACCAGGA